GGGGGGGGCAGTACCCAACCTAAAGCCTAGACCTTGCGATAACAAGTCGCAAATCCATCGAGTCGACTCTCGGGCTAAACCCTAACACCCAGAAGTCCTAACAAAGACTGCTATAAGGGCCTTACTAGTTGGGGCATGTTACACTAAATACTGTAATAGACCAAAGAACCCCCAAAATAGTATCGGTAGTTTTTCTCTAGGCCCCTATCTTATCTTAACCCAAGTTGCTGCCAAGGCAAGAAACACCCATTATTTATGAAGGACCCCTCCCTTCACCAGGACTGTGATGGGGATCCTCCTGCAACATGAAGGCCGCCGAAGAAGCGGTGCTGTTTCCCAGAGACTCCAATATCCCTTAATTAAGGAATATACAGTAAATTATAGTAGGATCCCGAATATGATTCAAGGTATATTCCTTAATTAAGGAATATTGGAGTCTCTGGGTTATGAGAGGTTCACATTATCCATGGGGTGTCCAAAACCTGAATATCCTAAACACCAAAACTCCTGATTAAGGACCCGTGTACAGTTTAACGGATTTGCATTCCATCATGGCCCAAACCCCTTCTGAAGATTAAGGTCGTAAGGTCCTAGCCCAGTCCCGAGCACCTTCGCGAAACTTCTGAATCAGACACCTTCCCTAAACCCTAAACGCTAAACCCTAAACCCTAAAACCCTAAACCCCTAAACCCTAAACCTAAAACCCTAAACCCTAAACGCCAATTTTGTGCCGAGTTTCATTCAGCGTGACGCGCTCCGATCCGCCGATGTCCGCAAAGAGCTTCCGGAACTTCGCGACAATCTGATGCCGCTCCTGAAACTTGCGCCCAAAGGATGAAAAGCTAAAGCTTTGAGACTAAGACTACCTAAACCCTAAACCCTGAACCCTACCTGATAAGAGCCCCCGAAACTTGAACAGTTGGGTTTTGGACCACTAAAGCGATATGAGGTTTGGGGCTTTAAGCAAAATTCAGATGCGGTTGCTGTAGGGCCGCAGGTCTTAAGTGGCTCAGTTTTAGGGTTTAGGGTTTAGGGCCTCAGAACTCAAGGTTTTCGTAGGGCCAAGGGGTTCTACAGCTCTGAGGTAGAAGCAGCAGCTTCAAACGGCTTTGAACGAAAGGTTTGCTGTGGGGTTGGGTTGAGCTTATGCAGGGAACCCAGATTCCCGGGAGGATCTAAAAAGTAGATCCCCTAATTTTGGGACCCTAACTACTGAAGGGTACTTTATAGGAACCCCCTTTAAGGGATCTACTTTTTGGATCCTCTCGGGGGTGGGAAGTTGCACAAAGAGACAATGAACACTGCTCTTCGAAAGAACATCCGAGCATCGTGCAAATGCCTGACGACGGCCACATCTTGATCTGCGCTGGCAGTCTCGATTGCAGTGTTACAGAAGTGAGCAGTTAATACGTTCAACACGGCGAACACTGCCTCAGCTGCTCTTGCTCATAAACAAATAAACAAACCAAGAAAATAAATACGTATAAGAAAACACATGCATCAATGCAAATATAAATCAAAACATAAACATATGTAAACAAATAGAAAATTAAACAACAGAAATAAACAAACAAATACATAAACGAATATTAAACAAGATACATAAATACATAAATATATGAATATTTAACTATATCTGTATATATATATATGTATGTATGTATGAACTTTTTGTCTTGATTCCCGGATAGAAACATGAGCTTTCCCACCCACACAGGATACGCAACAACTGGCGAATGATGCCAGAAAAAACCCTTAAGCAGTGAGGCCCTAATCCTGAAACACGACGCCCTACAACCCAAACACCAAGCTGCGATCAGGATGAAGACATAAAGCGAGCAGACAGCAGCGACACTGACATCCCGCAAAGGTCTCATCAGCTCGTCCCACTCCTCTGCTCATTGCTTTTGGCTTTGATTCTGAGCCAGTAATCTAGGGGCCTTAATACTTAGAATACGGTTTTGGGGTACATTATTATACCATAATGAACTTCGACAGGCATCTTTTCTTACAGCTGCGAGGGGGTCGCTACTGGGCTTTTGTCGGAGTTTCGTTTGGGGCGGGTGACTGGTAGGTTTAGGGTAGACCCCGAAGTACTGTTGATGATGAAGATCCTGCATTACCTTGAGGACCCTAAACTATGGGAATTATGGTATATTCCTTATTATGGGTCGTTTAGGGTAGACCCCGAAGTTTTTTTTTAGCATCGTCTCTTCCCTGCAGCAGAATACCCGTAAGCTCCATAGTAGTTCTTTATTAAGGCTTATATTCAGAATCCTATAAGGTACTCCCAAAAAAGGAACTACTTAGGGGCCTATGGGTAACTCTTACTAGTGCGTAGACCCTCAAGTTGATCAGCTCCATCTACTAGGGTTTGTCATGAACAAGCGATATACTGTAGACACCTCGTCTATACCTCCCTTCATTGGGAGTTAAGATTAGGGGGACCCTCTGGGGTTATAGACCCTCTCAATAGGGTCCCTTTAAGAGAGCCACAACAAGGGTCCCCTTTGAGAGGTCTACCTAATACTACCTAGGATTCATCCTACTGCTGGCTCTTAATATCAGGATGTCTGCTATCGTCCATCTAGCAGGACAAGCAGTACTCTAAAGCGGAGATTCAATGCCGCCTGTGATGCCCATGAAAAGGCTGTTCATGCTCTCTGGGACGGTAGACCAATGGCGTTGCAAGTGCTCCGCACAAATAGGGATCGCATTCGGATCCCCCGTCGCCTCAACAGTCCTGTGTCTGCAGTCATCTACCACCAGCTGTGTCAGCACAATACTAAAGCTGTAGAGCAGGATCAGCAGGAGCACAAGTGTCCAAATGAGTGGCATGACGGTGCTGAAGATAGAAAGCACCAACGCCTTCAACGGCGTACGGTACCGAAAGAAGCGCACGATTCTGACCGAACCTTAGTGCGGCTTGGGATACATTAACTAAGCCCTGCTATTTGCGGTGTATCAAAATCTTAATTCATGCAGTGGCTTGATCAATACCTGATGGGCCTGGGTCAGTTTCCTAAACCCTAAATCCCATTAATGGAAAGCACTAAGGACCGAACGCAGTGCATGGGCCACGCGAAGGATGTGAGTCATCCGCACTGACCGGGCATAGAGCGAGGCGGCGGTGATCTCCGCCCAGAAGCTGACCTTAGTTTCCTTACATGAATAAATGAGTCTGCCTAGAGCTCCCTGGGAGAACTGATTGCGTATGTACTACAGCACTACTGATCAGTACTGTCTCTCGGGTGGTACAGATATACGCACATACGTATATCATAGAAGGACTGATTTACACCCATACTAGAGTATCCCCTTTGCTACAGGTAGAATCGTTTCTGTAGCTATAAGGCTTCGAAGTCTGAAATGCGAGCACTGACAGGCCAAAGCCCTTATGGATCCCAGATGAAGCCTTCTAGATCCCTTGACCCACAAGGTTTAGGGTTTGGGTTTAGGGTTTAGGGTTTAGGGTTCCGAGCCTGTAGAATCCTACACACAGCCCTTACAAAAAAAAAGGAAGCACGAAAGCACACACACACACACACGCACTAAACGCAATAGACGCCCTGCAAAGCATCCAAACCAACCCGACGGCCCTGAACGTTATCACGAAACCCGAAGCCCTGAACCTGAAACCCTAAACCCTGAACCCTAAACTATTCTAAAATCTAAACCCTAAACCCTAAAGTATTCTAAACCCAAAAGCCCAACCCCTAGACTATTCTAAATTCTAAACCCTAATCCCCTAAACCCAGAAAAAAAGGGCCCCGAGCTATAAGTCTGGGACATTTCCAGGTGGGTAGTTACCGTTACAGGAGCCTTCTAGAAGGTCTATATACCTTATAGAAGCCTTCTAGAAGCCCTATATACCCTAAACTCCCAACCTGTAGTTTAGTTTCCTTCAACTAGACCCTAAACTTTCCCTAAACCCTAAACCCCTAAACCCAAAACCCCTAACCCCTAAACCCTAAACTCCTAAACCCTAAAACCCTAAACCCTAATTAAACCCTAAGCCCTAATTAAACCCTAAACCCTAAACCCCTAAACCGTCCTTTAATTCAGAGACCGAGGCTCTGCCAGATCCACCGAGCCGAGGCTAACCACCACGCAGTCGAAGCGGTTCCACGTGGCGAGCT